TGAATTGAAGTTTGTGTCGCACGACTGTAGGACTGAGGCACACTCCAAGTGAACGCATCTTTATGTTTGGTGTTTTGATCAGTGCCAGAGCTGAAGATTTGCAGCCCTATGTTCGTGTCCTAAAAAATGAAAGAAAGAATGGACAGAGGACAGGAAGGTGGACATTTGTCCTGTAGAGCAGCGATCGTCAAAAGGAGGCCCTCGAGGGGTGTGTGGGTGAGGTTGGGAAGGATGGTGGCAGTGACTGACTGAAGGATGGAAAACATTATGAACATGGGGAATAAAAGCATTTATATGTTTTCATGCTTTTCTTAGTTCCAGTAAGCAAAAGCATCAGAGATTAAAAAAAGTTGTAACCCCTTTTTCTTGGAGCACATGATCCTTCACTTCCTGATGCACATCGTGATGCAGCTTTGTGTCTCTACAACTATAAGCAATACCTGCAGACTATCTGAATCTATCATCAAAAAAATAAATAAGCCAGACATTTTATGACAACAGCAGAAAAACTGCCCACACAACTGTTTACCTCCACCATACAGAGCAGGCTGGGGGGGGGGGGGGTACAGATGTGATTTGTGCATGCACATCATGTATGTGTTTGGGTTTATGCTTATTCTGTGCAACTCCATTTGTAGCTTAATTCAAGTATGCAGAGGTGGATAGTTAACAAATTTGACAAATCCTGAAGCTAAACTCGACAAAACAACTCGAGTTTTGTTGTTCTGTTTATTTTTTCTGCCTTAACATCCGTCCATTGGCCACAAAGATAGGAAAAACAACGACTTTAAACTCAACAGAAACCAGTTAACATATTGCAATTAAACATTTCTGAACGTTTCATTACCAGTCTGCAGTTCATAAAATATTTTGCTAACAAACCGGGAAGACTTGAGCAGTTAATGCTATTTTCAGCAAAGATCTCCCACAATGAGTAGAACCGAGTGTGTTAAAGACGACGCTCAGCTTGTACCACGCCAAATACAGTAGTTCAATATCTGTCAAACTGACTGAGTGATCACCGTTCTTGTGTTTGCTGATTGGTTGATTTGCTGTGGCAGCCATCTTGAATCACACCGACCCCACTAAAAAATCAGTTTACTGTCCATCCATCCATCCATCCATCCATTATCTCTACCCACTTCTTCCTTTTCGGGTCACGGGGGTCACTGGTGCCATATCCAGCTATCACTGTGTGAGAGATGGGGGACACCCTGGACAGGTCTCCAGTCCATCACAGGGACACATAGAGACAAACAACCATTCACTCTCTCACTCACACCTAGAGACAATTCAGAGTTACCAATCAGTCTAACATGCATGTTTTTGGTCTGTGGGAGGAAACTGGAGCACCTGGAGAAAACCCACGCATGCACGGAGAGAACATGCAAACTCCACCCAGAAAGGTCCCCGGACCGAGATTTGATCTGGGGTGACCTGTTTACTGAGAGGCAGCAGCTCTACCAACTGCGCCACCGTGCTGTACATCCAATTATTATTTTCTGTGTCATTAAAAGCTGTCCATTGGTTCATGATATATTTAGTGATAAAGTGTGCCCGCACACACACAGAGAGGCTATCGCACGTCTTTGACCTTTGTGCAGCAAGCAATAATAAATAAAAACATTAATTCTTTATGGATGAAAATGAACGTGACCATTGAAAATTAGCAAAGAAAATGGTAGTGTTGGTTTTTTTTAAACTTGTAAGTCAGAGGGAGTGGTAGCATTACATGAAGTCAGTTTTCACTGATGTTACTCATCCTGTTCTTTGCAGCAACAGAATAAAAGGACAAATTGTACGTCCATTATAATAGATGCAGTATAACAGCAGTGACTGTCATGTTCTAAGAGAACTACAAAAAATAAGGCACCTTGTTTGCTTTTATAATACAACAGTGTGAGTCTGCAAACTGTAGCTTTATTTTATTCTCTCCATTTTAATTGAACCCTTCCAACACAACCAAACCTGTGTCTGTGCTCTCACCCAACAGAACCACAGAGAACTCTATTACACCAGACGTGACGCTTGTCTGGACAACCTCAGAGTCCAGACACCATGTAATGCAAGTCCAATCTTTAACATAACACCGTCATACCAGGCCCGGTCAAAGATACCAAACAAATTAAAAAGTGTTACGGGCTTCATATATAAATTCAATTCAGTTTATTTATTTAGCGCCAAGTCACAACAGAAGTCATCTCAGGACACTGAACAGAAACATTCATATATAAAAGTAATAATTTAACATTATTTATCTGAGGAGCAGACTGCTTTGAGTTTAACTCCATCACAGACTCTCATCTTGAGCAAGCATGGAGGCGACAGTGGAAAGGAAAAACTCCCTCATGAGGAAGAAACTTTTAGCAGAACCAGGTCAGGACAAGCGGCCATCTGCTTTGACTGGCTGGGTTTGAGAGGAACAGATACACAATGGCAGGTCAAGAATCACATGCTAAGATAGAAATAGTGTAAAATGAAAACTATTCAATTTTAACAATTCATTATAAGAAATTAGGTCAGTTTGTCCTCCAATAGTTTAAGCCAACAGCAGCATAACAAGCTGACCCTAACTATAGGATTTATCAACAAGGAAAGTCTTAATCCCAGTCTTAAAACTGGACAATGTGTCAGCCTCATGGACAGAAACTGGAAGTTGGTTCCACAAGAGAGGAGCCTGATAACTGGAAGATCTTCCTCCCATTCTGCTTTTGGAAACTCTAGGAACCACAAGTAAACCTGCAGTCTGAGAGTGAAGTGCTCTGTTGGGAAAATATGGAACAATAAGATCAGTAATGTAAGATGGAGCTAGGTTGTTGAGGGCTTTGTAGGTTAGAAGTAAGAATTTGAATTGTTTTCTGAATTTGATAATATATACAAGCTGAGAACTTTTTCTTTCGGCTGCCCTCTTCACCAAAGTGAACAAACTCTCATGAGGTTTTTGAAATTGTTTAATGCCGGATGCCCTTCCTGATGCAACCACAGCCCACTGCGTGGAGCAGGGGCTTTAAGTGGGTGGAGGGTGGAGGCAGATGTGGGTGCCTCACCTTTTCCATCCACATTTTGTTACAGGGGGGAAATAACACAAAAAATAAAATTCAAAACCAACTTTAAAATGATCCAAATGGAACTACTTTTTATGTGTTTATGGTTATTTATTTGGTGTTGCTCATATTTTGCCATGTACAGATATTTCAATATTTTAAAATCTTTTTAATGAAAAATCAGAAAAGATGACAATGAAAGGAAAAATCATTGTGTCAATCTTCAGTTTAGAGGAAAAATTGCAGGTTTGCAAAGTATTTTTGCATCATTAATCTGTTTCTTCTGACACTGATAGCAATGTTTTGGATTTGTTATCAAGCCCTGCTGATTTGTATCTACTGCAGCAAAACTGTTCCTGTTGCTAATATTGAACACCTTTGGTCTAGTCGCTCACTGTCTCATTTCTCTCTGCACAAAACTACATGTATAGACTCAACCAGCACCATAAAGACTGACCGACGACGATCTATGCAGCTTGAAGAAAAATAAGCTGAATCAAACTGAGTAGGATTCACTGCTTGAAGCTCTGAGAGTCAAAAAGTCAGCTGAGCTGCGGCACCGCTGAGGTCAAACCCAACTCAGACGCTCTGCCCACACTGCCAGGCTGTCTCAGCCCAAAACGTTAAAACATAATAAGTCTTTAGGTGAGTGGGAGAGAAGCAGTGGGAAAGAGTGCAACTCCATTCACCGCAGCTGACAACATAAAACTCTGAAAGCGTTCTCTAAAACGTTTGATAAGTGTTGAGCTAAAGAAATGATATGGTATTAGATAAAATCCTCACCAACTTGTGCTCTGATCACATACTGGAACATAATACTGGTTGGTTTTTTTTGGTACCACAATAAGTCTCCCCTTATAAATGGCTAATAAATAGTTTATAGGTACATTATAAATTCCTCTATAAACACTTTATAAAACATTAATAACTGCTTATTATGCATTAATTAAGGGTGACAAAGAGACAAAACTGACCAGTTTGTTGCCAAATAGTGATTCAAATCTGTTCACCTCTATATTTCATCTAGAGTTGTTATATTAAACATTTCAGACTAAGTTACTAATTTGTAAGCACAATAAACATTTGTAAACCTAAAGTTTTTAGGATATAATTTTAGATGTATGTACTTATAATGCAGTGATACAGTACAATATTATATGCTAAAGAAATAGGTTTACAAATGCTTATTGTGCTTACAAGGTAGTAACTTAGTCTAAAATGTTTAATATAACAACTCTACGTGAAATATATAGGTGAACAGATTTGGCAAAAAACTGGTCAGTGTTGTCTCTCTGTCACCCTTAATTAATGCATAATAAGCAGTTATTAATGATTTATAAAGTGTTTATAGAGGAATTAATAATTATCTATAAACTAGTCATGTATAAGGGGATCCTTATTGTAAAGTGGTACTTTTTTTTTAGCGGTGGCCTACCAGCCGTCGTGCATGTGCATTCTTCTAGGAATCACTTCCATTATGTCTAGAAAAGCTGCCTGTAAATCAGGTTATCAAGGCTAACCAAATTTAATATAAATGATAATAAATTAGAAATACATGATATTTACCGCATCTAGCTAATTTTATAGTAAATCTCAATATATGGTAAACCAACATGCATTGCAAAAATATATAACTTTATTTATATTTACTGAACATAGCATGTGTAAAACCAAAATATGCAGAATGATCTATGACAACACTTCTTTAAACTGTTGTAGACTCGAGCATTCTGTTGTTTTGTTGGTAAATAATACTCACTGTGAAGTCATTGGAGTAGATCAACTTTGTGCGTACTGATGATGCAACATATTTTACAAGATTTTCAATTCAGGCTTTTTAAACTTTTTTGAAATTTGTAAGACAAGAAATAGACTAAACAAATGAAAGAGGATAAAAATGTTTTTCGATTGGGCTCTTTACACACACACACACTCCTAACGGTGACTCTCACACACCTGTACTTCATGCCCGTGTGTTTTCCTGTGGACTCCTTCAGGGAGATGTGGCGTGGAGTAAAAGAGCCGAAACTGCGGGCGATGATGGCCACGGTGCGGAACTTGGCCCTGGCCTGGTTCACCACGTTGGGGCTGGTGGTGCTCTGCTTGCTGTGGTCCCCATTGCCCCTCTTCAGGTTGTGATCCGTGCAGGCGATGGACACCTGCATGGCTGAGCTTCTGCAGATGTGGCAGAACCAGAGAAGCAGCTGCAGCTGAATGGAAACAGCCGGTTGTCGGTGAAGCTCTTTTTAACAAGCCTTACGTTAATCTCTCTCCGTTTTTGTTTAAATTGTGCATTCAGGTCCTGCTTCTTCTCAAGTTCTGGTCTGGATCCTCATGTTCTTTTCCAGAGCTTCTTCACGTGCATCACTTTCTTCTTCAAAATCAAAACAAACCTAAAAAAGCTTTATCTCTTTTTTTTCTGTGCTCAGATCAAACCTCCCATTTTGTAGCCTTTTTGAAAGAACAAGTTAATCATCAAAACCTTGGGAGGGGGAAACAAAAAAAGACGGGTGCTTCCAGGATCCCCAGCTGACTCGGTGCTCCTCCTGTGAGTCCCTCTGATGCTGAGCTTCAAGCTGTTTTCTTTCCTCTAACAGGGTTTTAGCTGCAGAGGCAGAGATGATGTAGAGAGTGGCAGAGATGTGAGCCGGGCGATGCGCTCTCCCTGCTCTGACTGTGGGAACAGTGTGCGAGCGATGGCATGTGGGAGAGAGAGGAGAGGCGGGTGAGGGAGGGGAGATGGGGTCAGAGACTGGATAAGGAGGCAGATGAAGTCGAGGGAGGAGAATCACTCTCAGGTCCTGAAGGTCACCACCACACTTCTGCTATCTGCAGTTTTGTCCCTCTTCTTTCACTCGTTCCTCACTTGCTGATGGTAATGTGTGGCACTAATGTGGCCCAGTTTGGAACTAACACCCCCCCCACACACACACACACACAGGCTCTCAAGTTCACCAGTATTTACTGTGTACTTTGAGTGGATTCTCAGATCCTCTTGTTGTTGATTCTCTCAGCAGAGCAGCTCCATCACTGACAGAACAGATTCAGGGATCTGAAAGACATCTGCAACAGTTTTCTCTGTAAATCCTCCCTCACACTTGCTTTCAGCTGATGTCTTAGCTGTCCTCCTCCTCCTCCCCCTTATTGTTCTTTTCATCTGTCACTCCTTAAAGTTTTTTCTATAAATAAATAAATCCTTAAAACTCACACATTAAAGTTTCTAGTCTATCTGCACACTCCACAAGAAGTTCCAACAAAGTTCAGTCAGGTCTTCAGGATGAATTTTTTTTTTTTTTTTTTTGATGAAACGTTTTGTCTTTCATCCAAAGGACTTCATCAGTCCGAGGAGTCACAAACAAACTCAGTCCCACAAGCAGCACACTCACATAGTGGACCAACCAGTTTTATGGTGGAAAATATAGTTTCTGGAGTCTGCCCTCTCCCCCGTCGACTCCTCTGAGGCAGCCATAGTCAATGTGGTTCAAAATATCAAAGTTCATGCTCAATAATCCAGGTTAAAAAAAAATCCAACAAAGTGGGATTGTTGAGCATGAACTTTGTTGTTTTGGACCACTTTGGCTATGGCTGCCTAAGAGGAGTCGAAGGGGGAGAGGGTGGGCCCCAGAAACCATCTTATCACCATAAAACTGGTTGGTCCATGCGAGTTATGGGACTGAGTTTGTTGTTGAACGGAGTACCTAGACACTACTTCGGAAGATTCCCAGCCACTCTGACTGGAAACGCTGAAAGGGAGCGTGAAATGGACCTCTGTACCGGAGCTGATTTATCTTCTGCAAAGGTAACGAGTCGTCACGCACTGAGTGTACCAGGGCTGAGCTGGGGTCGGAGGAAGGGTGCCATTCCTGGTCAACACATTTTCCTTCCTCCATCTAAATCCTCCTCTTTAAATCTAAATCTATCCTCTTTTAAACCTCTTCGCCAGTAAATCAAGCTAAATGCCTTCAGAGATTAAATATTCTCCATCAGTAATCCTCTGCTGTCTTGCTATTTGAACTTGCTAAGTTTATTAATCAGAAACAGATCAGCCAATCAAGTGTACATGTTTTGATGTTAAATGACCACATTTATTCTGATGGGTCAAAGATAAATGATGTCTCATGTCACTAATTATACACTCCACTCTCAAGTTATCTTGGTCACATGGCAGAAATTTAACTCGAAAAAGAAAGAATCCGTTGTTAATTAAACAATTAATATTCTTTGTGCTTGAACTAGCTTTAAGAATAATTAATTAATAGAATGTCCACAGCAAAGCTGTCCCGACATACTACAACAGTATAACTCCTACCCACTTGAAAATCTTGGACCATAAACATTAAGGTTTCTCTACATTCCCTGTTCCGTTCCAGAAAAACACTCATCACAAGGACTAAAAACATTTGCAAACAAATCCCTTAGTGATGGGGACAATGACGCACCGCTTGATTTGTATGAAAATAAAACTTAACAGTTGAATTCAGAGCAACAGAGGAGAGTCTCTTGCTCTGTCCACCCCAACACACACACACACACACACACACACACTATCTGTCACTTTACTGAAATGTACTTACCTTTTCAGAGCACAGCTAATGGAAAAGTCACTCATTCAAGATCAATAACACGTTTCTCCAAGGAGGGATGTACTGATCCTAATTGATTTCTGATAAGAAACTAGCGCAGTCCTAAAGCCTCTCCTTGTAAAAAAGATTGGAACAATGAATACAAACTATGATACTTAGAATGTATTAAATGCAGATTAACTCAAACTGTGTTTGGGAAGAAAGGATTCATGTTTTTATTACCTGCTGCAGAAGGTCAAGGCAGAGCAATAAAGTTTTTGCTTGTATGCATGTGTGTGGGTGTGTATGTGTGTGTGCTGGTCTGTCTGTGTCTTTTGCAAAATATCTCATAAATCACTGAATGAATTGTAATTAAACTTTCAAGAAGAAATCACTGGACGTTTAACATTTGAAGTCAACCCTATTTAAGATGGCCGCCACAGCTATAAAGAAAAACAGATTAATTTCAGCCAAATTTAAAGAACCTGAGCTAAAATTTGGTGTGGTAGCAGCTGCCTGATATTCACAGCTCTTAATAAGCTTTAACAGATCACTTGGGACATTCAATATTGAATGTGACTGTGCAAAATGTTTTTTTCCAAGGTCTCGCCAAAATGGCTAAATTTCAGAATTTCTCAACAACAACAAAAAAAAAGATAGTCTAAAATCAAGCAATGCTCATTTTTAAGGAATGCTATGTCTAAAATTTATAATGTAAGTGGGTGTTGAAATGTGAAATAACTTGAAATGAATTGTATCTGTCATGAACCAGAGGCCGGATCGCAAACAACAACAACAACCACTGAGAGGGTTAAAAGGTTTATTGTGAAATAAAGTAAAACCCTGGAGTAGGTCCGGTTCTGGGCCGGTTCCGATCTTCTGATTGGTAGTTCGTGATTGGGTAGTGTTGAAGTGGCGGGCTGCCAGTAGAAGTAGAACTGATGTTAAGGTCCACTGGAACGGAGTCCAACAGGCTTGCAACTAAAAGATAAAGGTTAGTAGATGCAGGGGGAAAGAGACTAATTGGGGAAATGAATCTGTGGGAATCAGATTCAGGGATAAGGATAAGTCCGTGATACAGAATGAGCTTGACCTTTAATCCGTGATCCAAAAAACAGTCAGAAGGGAAAGGCAGAGTTCATACCGTGAAGTCAGTTGTTCAGCAGAAGTATCCAGTACGTGATCCAAAAGAGAGTCAAAAAACAAGAGCATGAGTCGGTACCTGATCAGATGAGCAAAAGCAGACGAGGGCTGAGGCAAAAGCGTGGTCGTGGTCAAGGCAAGGGTCATGAACGTGATGAGTCAATCAATGGAATGCTGGAAAGTCTACTGCTGATGAGACAGGATAGAGAATCTGGCCCAGACTGAGAGGAATGAGTGAACTTAAGTACTGACTGGACCAGGTGGTGGAGCTGTGGGATAATGAGCGGTGACAGGTGACATGAGTTGAGTGATTACTGAGTGTGCAGCATGACAGAGGAGCTGACAGAGAGCAGAGCTATGACACCTTGTTGCTGTTTTAAGTGGTCTATAAATAAATTGGTATGGTATGGTATGGGTATAAACAGGAAAGCGGCGATTTTGGAATGCCTACCCAAATTTCACACCTTTTTGAAGGTTTACAGCCTCTGCATTTGAACGAACTCCTAAGGATTTTGCTCAGTCAGTTTTAAACTTGGCCATTTTGTTCAATAGGCTTGGGGGAAGAAAATTTATCTAAACAGTTTGTTTTGGAGCATGGTGAAGGGGCAGGGCCAGACCTCAAAGTTTGACATCTCGCCATGAAAAATTAAAAGCAAATAGCTCCCACATGAAAACTGTCTGAGCCATTAAACCCTCAGTGACTGATCCACATCCGGTCCCCTGCAAGACTGAATGGTCAAATCATGACATGACTTAAGCAATGCCCCCTGAAAATAGGAAGTATAAAGTTTTTATTGAACGGTCCCTATCTGACTCCTGTTAAGTAATCAGCATGATAGTGTGTCCAGTGACCGAAGACATGTTGGTGTAACTTGCTTTCCAACACTGACAGTTTTGGGTGGAGCATGTGGGCGTCGCAACATGGTGAAATAAGACGTAACACCGTCGCCATACGTTTGGCTCTAAATTCCACAGATTTGAACCGAGGTGCGCCAAAATCCACCCCTTGAACAGGAATCCATGATAATTGGCCAATAGCCTCCACAGTGCCCC